TCAGAAGTGTTGCCGTCACCTTGAGGTCACAGTTACTTTCCATTGTCACTGTAAGTTATATTTTATCATTATGTTGATTATTACTTTCTTTTAATTTTAATTCTGTTTGCTGGGCTTCAGTATCCTGTCCCCTGTCGCTTGGCCTGTATTAAACTGCATTAAAACTAGATATTTATATCTCTTTTTTTGTTGATACAAATGTGTGTAGGCGAGGATGTTGAGTTTGCTGCATTCTCTTCAGGGATTTTCTCTGCCATGTTGCTGCTAACCGATGCCTAGCTTAACTGCTAAACTGTTTTTTTTTGTCTTTGGTAATTTTTTAGGAGCTTGAAGTCAACAAACAAGATACATGTTAATGAGTAAGCTTAAGAGGTGCTAGTATTCATATTCTGATTCCTTTTGACTTAACCAAGCTAGCAGCCTCCCTGTGTTTTCAGTCTTTATGCTAAATTAGGATAAACTAAGATATACTGTAACTATTCCTTTAAGTTTAAGTTGTTACACAATTTAGAATTAACTTCAACATGAATCCCCCCTTTTCACAGCTACTGGTAACAGAATGTTATAAAAGCAAGCAGTATTTTCCAGTCTCTGAGGGGACACGAGTGGTCGGAGAGTTCAGGTTGAGGGTAAGGTCCAGCTCAGTCTGTGGAACGCTACATGGCCGCTGGTTCCTGAATATCACGCACACATGATGTACTTTACCCTTTTTTATTTCAGCCAGTTTCCAAATGTTCCGGTCTGTGCACCAACCAGGCCGTGAAGTGAGGAGCTAGAGGTCGTGAGAGGTCAGTGAAGAAACCGAAAAAGCAGCCAAGCACACCTTGAGCCAACATCAGTAACTTACGTTCCTGAAGATAATGTTCTCAAATGATCCAGAGAACAGGTTGACGCTGGCCTGATCCAGACTCAGAGATTGATCATAAACAGACCAATTAAATAATGAAAACCATTTTATTCAGTATATTGGAGATACGAAATTAGAAAACAAAACATTTCTAACTCGAGATTTATAGGCTTCTGAGTTTTTTTTGCATGGATGTTGATATTTGTTTAGGCTTTTATCCAAACTCCATTTCAGTATTTTCATGTTTTCCTGGCAGAAACAATTATTATTGAGGCCTTCAGTGCAGCAGGTGTGAAATAGATAGATGTAAAGCGTTACATCTTAAGCAGTAATAGAGGTCATTCTTGAGCTTGGAAACTTTAAGTCTCAACCTTTGACTAACATGGACCAAAAATCCACAAATGTGACATTTAAGGACCTTGGGATTACAATAGTGTTTAATTTACATTCTCAAAGATCTCCATGTTGATCTCTTTGGGTTCCGGTTAGGGTAAGGGATGGATTTCATCAGTTAGCCATAGGCTCAATTACCATTGTGTACTTAAAAATCCTTAATTTGACACGTTCTGCGTCCGTGGAGAGCTGCGGTCTCATAGATGTGGACGCAGTTGAGGGCCTGCGTTGAGCTGGCACTTCACTTATGCCCACTTCCAGATACAAACACTTTTCAAGTCAATGATCTTATTGTTATGTTGTTTGAGAGGGAATCAACACCATTTGTCTGTATTTGTATTCAACTGGATCCCTGTTTTGTGGAGTCCAAACCACAACGTTGTGGGAGAGGACAGACATCCATCTGTGTCATTTTGAGGGTCTTTTTGTTACAGGATCCAGGAAATTAGGCACTCAAGGCAGACATTTGCTGTTGAAAATGTAAACATGGGCTCTTTCTGTTTGGGTGCCTTGAATTGTTTTGATTCATGGCACCCAAACAGAAAGAGCTCAGGGACAGGCATTAAGTAAAACAGATGGAATTAGCCAATCTTCTCTTTGATCGACTTGTTTGCTTTCATCTAGGTCTGGTCATATGAAGGGCATCAGTGTTATTGAGACAACCTTGAGACTCTTTGTGGTAACTTTAAAGTAATTGCAGTGTTGGTCTCTGCCTGACTCATCTGCTCAGGTCTGTCTCTACGGACAGGTGTAGTAACAGGAGCCAGTTCCAGTCACGGATTGTCCCTGTCCCCCCAGTTACCCAAATGCATGTGTCACAGATCTGCGTGTTCCACATAGCGCTTCAGTGCTCAGGTCTCTTTCACAACAGATGTGACGGTCTGTCTCCTGGATAAACACTTTTTTGCTGCTTGTTATTATTTGTTGTTAATGGTTGACACATATTGAATGGAAACATGTGAAAGTGCCAAGAAATTGTACGCCAAAGTGTTGCCGCCCAGAGGTGACAAGGTGTGTGTGTGTGTGTGTGTGTGTGTGTGTGTGTGTGTGTGTGTGTGCGTGCGTGCGTGCGTGCGTGTGTGTGCGTGTGCGTGTGTGTGTGTACTTCTCAGATAACACATTATTTTATGTTTATGATTTTTAATTGCCATAACATCCATGTCTTTGTATACATTTGTTTAATGAATTGACACTACTATCATGAAATCTATTTTTTTGCTTCACATGAATTTCACATAATGTCTCTCATCTACTTTTCCCAATACATCTTCAGTTTGAAACCAATATCCAACTTTTACTTTCACCGTCCGTTCCACTGTGATTGTGAGAAAAAGGTTTAGTGTCAGACTGACTGACTTGCCCCCTTTGTTGTGGTATTAGGACAAATCAATCTCTCAGATTTAAAAACGAACACATGAGTCATTAACTTGTCACCTTAAGATGACGGGGCTGCAGACAGAATGTAATTTATCTGTTTCCACTGGGTTATTACTGTAGCTGTGGCACTTTACACAACGGAGCGAAGTGCAGCTTAGGTGTGTAACTCAGGGAAACTTTACACAAGAATAGTAGCTGGAGATAAGAGTGTAATCTGTTTAATGACACCAACCAAACCGAAAACTGAAGCGGATCTTTAGATTGAAGAAAAACAGTTTGGAGATATATTTCGGGAAAACAAAAAGTACCTTAAATAAGACTTCATTGTAATAATATCATTAACTTTCTTACAGAGAATGGTCTCCTGGACAGAGCAATGGGTTGTTAATTGAACTTCTATATCTTCCTCAATTTTGTAATTAGAAAATGTTTATGACATTTTTATATTCAGATAACCATAAGCATTGTCTGCCTCACAACACATTAGCTCTGTTGGTAATAGGTTTAGGGAATCCTGTGTATTACTAATGATCAACCACATTGATACTATACTGAAAGATTACACGTCTAACCAATAATTGGCTAAGTATCTTGTCGTAAACCATCATGCAGAGGAGGTCAGTGGCTCCTGGTCGTTTTTTGTTTACAGCAAGGTTTTGTTTGCATCAAGTGAAAATTGTCTTTCTCTTCAATGGATAGGGAAATTAAGTAACTACACAATTTGCTTTTGGAAAATGTTGTAATTTGTAACCTGACTGGCACACATGCCATTTTGTTGGTCTCATAATATCAGTAGGCCGTCAGAATCTCCATATTATTACCTTAATATAATATGAGATTTCCATTATAGAGACATTATAAACTAAATTTTGAAGCATATGTTAAGCGTTCAGAAATCACAGTATAATCTAAAGGGATTTGAAGTCTCATCTCGCATGCATATAAGCATTTTAATGAGGGTGAAAGTCAATCTGAAGGGTGTTTAAGCAGTATCTTCCTCAGGTCACCTGTAAAGTTCTTGCAACTTTAGTATGCTTTCCCCCCCCTAGTTTAAAGGAACTGTAAACAACTGTCTTTTTTAATGCTATTTGGTGATTTGTATTTATTTATCTGTATCACTTCTGATAAAAACACACTGTTCTACACAAGGATAGACCCCCAGATCATAAAAGGTGAAACATACCAACACTTCACGTTGTACAAAATACTATTTTGTTTTCATTCATTATACAGTTTGTTTAAATAGATATAAGTTTTTCTTCATCTGTGAACAACGATGTCTTTCTAGACTAGAGTTAACTTGAGAAAAATGTCAATTTATAGCCAATTGTGAAGTCTAAACATCATTCAAATAACAATCTCAAATATTAAAAATAAATCAATAATATTAAACTTTATTCACGCATTCGATCCCACTTTCAGGACTTCTTCTGCCAATATTTCCAGATGACTTTATACCGACTACTTTTAACGATAAAACATAATTTAATATCTGCAACAAAATAAGATAAACAAAGTTGAAAAGCACATGTGAATGAAATTGCACTTTAAAGTCAGACTGGACACCAGCATTGGCTACACCTGCTCTGTGAGTTCACCCTCAGTCCGTCTTTGTTTCAGAACCTACAATTAAAGGAAGACAAACAGCTAAACAGCTTTATTATTGTTTTATTTAACTTTCACGAGGAAACAAAGGTGAAGAGGTCCCTAATAACATCACTCTGCTCTTATTAATGATTAAGTGTTTGTTTAACTCCTGAGTGAATTGAAGTGGTATTGCTATTTTTCTAAATTTGCAAAGTGAGATAAACCTCAATCGTTTCATTTAGCAATTTAAGGGACCAACATACCGTAGTTTATATGGTCGTGTCATTGTGCGCAGATAAGAGACAATTGAGGCAATTAAAATGTTTAAAAGGGACTTCTGTCCCACGTTTTCAAGGTTTAAAACCTAAGGGTTTGCCTACATGATGTTTTAAGTTGAAAACGAATAAAATATTGTATTATTATTGTAATTTTGAAAATAGAGATCAATGGATTATTATTGATACAAATTAATGGCTGCTTTTTCAGGGAAACTTTAACGTGCAACTATACTTTTTAGAATTTAAAAGCATTGGCATTTAAAGTATATTCCGAACTAATAATATAAAATAAGGAAGGAAATATAAATAGGAGGCTATTGCTTGTAGGCCTACTGCTCGCAGAGCTATTTCAATGCATTATTTAAAAAGAACTAACTTCATCAGCGGTGTGAATATGTGCAGCTCGCCTTCTTAAAAGTCTCTATGCCGTATACAACAGGGTCCAAAGTCCATGAAAGTTTTGCTGATAAGGGCAGCCAATAAAAGCAGCAGTGCAGCAGTGTAAACACATGTCAACCTCGGCCCAGAGCGGGCCTTATTCACTGGATTTACATAAGGCTCCCATCAGCCGGCCCACTCATTACCACGTTTTATATCCCCCTGCATGCACTCAAGCATCATGACAAAGTAGCTCCATCCTCCCCTCCAACAGGGAAGTGAAGCAGCTTCTCGGAGCAGGTGTCAGGAGCCGCAAACTCACACAACACTGGAGCAGAGAGGAACTTTATTTTGTTTGTAATATCCCACTTCAACCTCCCCTTTTCACTCTGCTGCAGCGCGCTCACAGCAGGCCTATGTTGTGTTTTTAATGTTCTCTAAAATGGTATCAAAGCTGACATCCCTGCAGCACGAGCTCCTCAGCGCCCTGCTGGACTCGGGAGTAACCAGAGATGTTCTGATCCAAGCCCTGGATGATTTGGACCCCAGCCCGCCGGGCTTCGGAGTAAAACTGGAGAACCTGCCCATTTCCCCAGCTCCTCCGCAGAGCGGCAAGATGAACGGGACGGACTCCGACTCCAAGCCTGTCTTCCACACGCTCACCAACGGACACAGCAAGGGCAAGCTGTCCGGGGACGAGGGCTCCGACGACGGGGACGACTTCGACACCCCGCCGATCCTGAAGGAGCTCCAGTCGCTCAACACGGAGGAGGCTGCGGAGCAGAGGGCCGAGTTGGATCGCATGTTGGCGTAAGTTTTCCTACTTTATATAACTCTTTTTAAAACTTTTTTTAAATAGTTAAAATTAAGTTAAATCGCACTTTGAAGGGTGTCATGAGGAAGTGAAAATATGCGCATATTCAAGGTTATTCTGTTTATTTTATAACACACTCAAAATGCTCTTTCTGTTAAGTTTGTTAATGTTAGGACAGAAGGCCTGTTTAAATAGCCTACATGTAGGCCTATAGGCAATAGCAAATGCATTTCCCTTCTGTGTTTACATTTTTAAAATGACCCGCCGTGGTTCTGTTTTCCATTCTGGTTACTAATTACCCACACGGATTATTATTTCTTTACCTTTGCAAAATATCAGCTGAACTGAGATCTATTTATTATTAACTACTCCACCTCTCAACGATAAAAAGAAATCCGGCAATGGTCGACAGACACGAAGAGAAAGTGAATGCACGACAGTCTGACATTTAGAATAACACATAGGCCTAGGCCTATTATAAATTATTATTATCATTATTATATAAATAACATAACATGCACAACTTCTTAATCATACTTATAATAATACTAATTACAATATGAATACAACTTATGAATAGCATAATAATAATAATAATAATAATACAAATTATAATTATAATATTAACAATAATACAATAATATGTATTATAACTTTTATGTTTTCCCTATTATGCCAGTAAACAAAAACATCCCAAACAAATCGTAATCCATTTATTCCAATTCGAGTTTTTGGATTTACTGTAAAACTAATATTTAAAGCTCTAACACGACCGGAAGAATATCAAAACTAACCCACGTGTAGTTATTATTAATTTTATTCTATAAATCATCAACGGAAAGATACACAGTGGCGTGTGATTAGAGTGAATGGAGATCTGGTTATTCATTGTCAAAAGTTATAAACTAACATCTCCCACTTAACCCGCAGACTTATGTAGGCCTCCACATTCTCCAAAACAAACAGGCGTGTTAGATTTGCTATAATTACCGATGTCAGTGTCTGGGCCTGCTAAGCTCGTATTGTAGGTCATGGCTCCGTTTTACCTCCGAATTGTTTTTGATAGACCTAAACACTGCTGCAGAAATTAGACGTTTTATGAGTAGGCTTTTGTCAATCGCTGTTTCTACAGGTAAGAACACGATTTGATGCTAAATTCATTTTTGGAATCAAAGATTGTATTAATTCACATGCACTAAAAAACGAAATAATGTATTGAGTTTAACTGAACGTCGCTTTTTTATAAGATTAAAAGATTAAATATATCTAATTTTACACGTTCGACTATATATCTTCAAGTTATCCTGACTCCAATGTATTTTTGATTAACAATTACAAACATTTGATCATAGAATGAAGTGAGTAAACATTATAATATAAATATTAACTCAAATGTATGACTTAGCCTAATATTTTTATCAAGTTGTTTCCAATACAGACATTTTACAAGTATATTTATAACTTTATCAGAATTTCTTGTCAACCTAAGTTTGATTCATTTTTTAGCTGTTGTTTTTTTAGATTTATACACCTTGCTTTAAATTCACACAAACTTGATCTAGTTTTTTGATCTGTGTTTAGGCGACAAATACTAAGTCCAAGTTCCTCAACCTGCCTGAATCCACTTGAACTAACCTTTGAAAATATTTACAGCCTATTGAACGGGCTACAGTGCTAAACGGGTTGTCAGTGAGAGGACTTGTTACCCTTTAAACTTGAAGCCTTGAAAAACATTTAGGTGAAGGAACATGTGTTTAATACTTCCACATTTGTAGATTTTGCAAAAGATATACATAAACAACATTTAATGCCTACAATCATTACCATAACATTTTCTTTCCCCTTACATGAAGCATTTCACCATGTATTTATATTAATTTAAGACCAGAACTTTATGTCAGCCCAATAAATGTGAAATGTGAAGCTGGTTTTGCCCTCTAAAGACTGCAGTATAGTTCAGTGGTGAAATGTGTTTTCTGCTCCTGTTTTATCTGAACGCAGAGAGGATCCATGGCGTGCTGCCCGTATGATCAAAGGTTACATGCAGCAGCACAACATCCCCCAACGGGAGGTTGTGGACGTCACAGGGCTCAACCAGTCTCACCTCTCCCAGCACCTCAACAAAGGCACGCCCATGAAAACAACGAAGCGAGCGGCCCTCTACACCTGGTATGTCAGGAAACAGCGGGAAATTCTCCAACGTAAGTTCATATTTGAGTTTCTCACAGATTGGCCCTGTCCTGTAATGTGTAGTTAGCAACAGCATGTGCTTTTTTGGGGTTTTAATATCATGGTGGGTTTGACATGTCCTCACCATGTTGGATGACATATACATTCCCCTACAGCAATTTTAGTCATAATTCATCATAGCAAGAAATATATTGTTTCTTTGATAGAAAAGACCTCTATCATGTGGGTAAACGTTTTACAGATATGCATTTTGGTTTTGTGATTTTGCATTGAAAGAAAGCATTTTGAAATGAGTTTTGTTGAATGTACATCTTTTTGTTTTTGCAGAGTTCAACCAGGCAGTGCACAGCTCTGGCTGCAACATGACAGATAAAGACAATCAGGATCCGATGTTTTTTTTCCCAGAGTACAACCCGTCTGGTCAGGGCATGGGTCAGACTGGTGAAGAGGTCGGAAGCGAACCCTCCTGTAAGAAAATGAGACGTAATCGTTTCAAGTGGGGGCCTGCGTCCCAGCAAATCCTTTACCAGGCCTACGAACGGCAGAAGAACCCCAGCAAGGAGGAGCGGGAAGCTTTAGTAGAAGAGTGCAACAGGTACATTTAAAACAACAACTTCCTATACCTTCCTAGAGATATTTGACCAAAACAACATTAACCCTAATTTTTATTTATTTGATATCTGCAGAGCTGAGTGTCTTCAGAGAGGCGTCTCCCCCTCCAAAGCTCAGGGCCTCGGCTCAAATCTGGTCACTGAAGTGCGAGTCTACAACTGGTTCGCCAACCGGCGTAAAGAGGAAGCCTTCAGGCAGAAGTTGGCCATGGACTCCATCACCTTACCGTCCCACAGCATGAACTCTCTGCTGTCACACAGCTCGCCACATCATCCCCACAACAGCGCTTCACCTCCCAGTAAGATGACAGTTGACTTTACTTTGCATGCAGTTCAGCATCACAGAAAGCAGACAAGATGTGTCCATCATTTTAGCATTGCACATCTTTAACATTATCAGATAGTTTAAAATAAAAGGTCACACAATTGATACAGCATAAATGGAGATATTGTCTTACTTATTCAACAATATCTTGGTCTTGTTAAAACCTTGTACCTACATTATTACACACAATACTTTCCAAGACTTGTTAACATATTTTGAGGTCAGTGGGGTTCTCCCTTAACTGTCATGTCTGCAGATTCATCATCTGCATTCATCATTCATTCACAAAAATACCATATGACTAGAGACAGAATATGCATTAAGAACGTTTAATTTACAATATTTACGCCTACATTTGAGATAATAGTGCAAATAATAAGATTTAGTGTCTTTGGTGTGAAAACGCTGTCAGAAATGGTCAGAAGCACAGTTGATGTGATCAGAGGGGCAGAGAAAGAGGGAAGAAGTGATCAATGAGCGTGAGTGAGTGAGCTGAGCAAATGCCATTGTTATTCTGATCTTTGAAAACACACTGAGAACAATCCACATTGTACCTGCAATCTCCACTCCAAAGTCAGCATGGAGAAGCATGTCACAAAGGGCAGCAATCCTGTGACAGGCCAGGGTCAGGCCAGGGTCAGGGGGGGGGACAGACACATCCAGTTTACTTCGACATAACCCCGTCATTTCCACATTTCCTCCTCCCATGCAGGTTGCTAATGACTCCATTCAAAGAGTCTCCAAAACAAGGAAATGCTGTGCGTTTTGGCCCTGACCATTTCACCCTCACCTGATGTTTGCATTCGGAGTAATTAGTATTGACTGAGTCTACCTGTGTATACGACATAAAAACAAAGCTGATAGGCCTCACAGAGCATTATCCTCCGTGCCATCACTCACCTCCATAAAACTGTGATTTGAGAGTCTCACTCAGAGCCTATTGTTGTCCTCTCGTGTTCGAACACGAGGCGAGCTTTGAAGGGAAAACAAACTGTTTGCCTTGGCTTGCTCTTTTACCTTTGGTGATTGTCTGTTTGCTTGAGTATTTTTTTGTTGATGCTCAGAACACCTGACCAGGCATTGACCTCAGGTTGCCAAGCCAGAGGGGTCAGCGATAAGGTTATAGAAGGGAAGACTCGGTGCATTGCGAAACATACTCTAACCACCCCCTGAAAAAAAACGCTCAGCTGGCTGCTTACAAGGTGTCCTGCTGGCATCCTGCCGACAGCATCAGCTGTTTTTCAGTGTCAGCCCCTGGCCTGACAATAATATCCCAGCAGGGCGTCTCATTGCGTTGCTAGGGCACGGCCTGTATTATGCATGCTTAATGGACAATTAAAATCCTTTGCTACTACATCTCCCAGGCCTTTGATAAGGGTCTCCTCTGACTTCAACTCTCTATACTCTCCCTCAGCAGGCGGTCCCATTGTCTGTGGTGTATTAGAAGACTGCAGTGACTGTAACCTAGGTTCATTTATCTCTGCTGGGCCTTGAGGAGGACTGATTTGAAAGCCTCCCCCCTCATCTTTATGGGCATTGGTATAGTTGCTGAGGCTGGGTGCAGACTTGGAGCAGCAGGAGCTGTCCACTGAGGAATGAGCTCTTTTCTGGCCAGACAGGACTGATGACCCCTTCTGCGCCTACAGAGAAAGCTATAGTCCCCCCCTCCCTAAACCGCTGCTGCACCTTCAGTCACACAAGAGAGGTCACTGCTGGGTCAGATCAAAGAAACTCCTCGTACTTTGGGAGTTTTTATTGATTCTGTTTCAGCTCGTTGATCAGTCGGTCACAACTGAATGGACAGTCAAACACTGTGATGTGCGGTTTTGGCGGTGGCTTTTTACCTTCAGAAATGAAACTGATTTCAGGCAAGATTACATTTGTTGGCAGTTCTATGAGCACACGCACCTGTGTTTTCTTATTTAATATTTACCTACTGTTCATCCACTTATATTGTTTACTGAGATCACGTAATCAATCTAATTTATGACATTTGACTTCAAAGCATTAATTCCCCAAACAAGTTAGTTAATCCATACATTTGTTGGCCAATTTATTAGTTTGATTTTCTTATTTAATTCGTTTTTAAAGAAACTGTTGTTTGCAGTGGTGGTAGTACATTGCGGTTGGGGGTAATTTACCAAACAATCTCCATTGTATGTTAACTTATAGTTTTACTCCTATATATTTTGGAGGGACATTATTGACATTTTACTTCCCTTTAATTTATTTAAAATCATCTAAATATTTATTTTCCTTTTTTCAGAAAATGATATGATAATTACAAAAATGACAATGCATGTAAAGGATTTGTTCCTAATGATTTAGCTTTATAAAAAGCAGGTTTTGGTTGGGGCCATGTTCCCCAAAGAGCAATTTCACCTCCAAAAGTCTTTACAATCAAACCACAAAGTGATAAAACTCAAATACCTTACAAAAAGCACAGATTATAAAAAATAAAAAATGTTTTCCTGTTCCTGCCTCATGAATCATCTCACAACTCCTCAGATATATTTTGTGACCATTTGAAGCGGACTAAACCCTTTGGAAACCTCTGCACTAAACTTCTCACTGTATATAAAGTAGACAAAACTAGGTACAGCAGTCAGATGCTGCCTAGACATTGGAACATTAGTAAGAATCGCATAATGTAAAATATTATACTTATGACACATAGGGGCCGTTTTTCTGCTTGACAAGTACTTTAACTTTCATAATACTTATGTCCATGTGCATATGGATGCAGGATTTTTACTTGTAATTTAGTATTTTTAGATGATTACTTGGCAGCTAGAGTCACCATTACACTGAATCATCGTTCTGCATGTTAAAAAACAAGCAGACTCAGAAGTTCCTGATCAGACACAGTACGGGGGGTCTTATCCGTAGGTTGCATTGCTTTCTGTCACCTCAGGCCGGTTTGAAACATCACACACACACAGGAAAAAGGATGGCCTAGCTCTACACTTTCCACTGCTCTGTTCTCCCAGAGAGCCACAAAGAAGAGCCTGGATACGTCCTGCAGAGACCCAGGAGGTCTGTCATATGCAGCGGCACCACAATGAGCACTGCCTGGGGTTGGGGAGGCAGGCTTTGATATTACATGGGTCACACAGGGAGCTAGAGCCTTTTAAACCTGCTGAAGATCCGTGCTACCACTCCCCTTCGGAAGTTCTCGCCCTCCCCCCTGCTCTCGAAAAAGACCCTTCAGTTTTTCATGGATTGTCACATCTTGCCAGAGCAGTTCTTTAGCTTTTGCAGGATCTATAAGTTACATTTTATTTGGTGGTTAGTCACTTAATCTGTGTTTGTAGAAAAACCTTTATTTTACATTAGCTTTCTAGTAACTGAGAGTCTCTTAGTGAAGATCGTGGAAGTCCTTCTACTTACTATGAGACTCCCTGCAGCTAGAATTACTGCTGCACCCAAAGAAACAAAACTGTCCTGAATAGCATCCTTTTCTCCCTCTGACACTTTAAGAGGTCGCCCAGCTCAAAGATAACTGCCTTTTTATGAGTCCTCCTCTATTGTGTGGCAATGGGGGTCATGAGTCCAATGGAGTGCTTTATTGTTCTGCGGCGGTGTTTACAAGGCACGGTGGAGTGTAGTGGGGTTGCTAGTATGTTGCAGAAGACAATATGAAGTCTGTGGGCTGAACAAAATGGAGGGCAGTTATAGGATGAAATATGGCTATTTGGCTTCAGACGGCGCGTTATCTGTTTTTTAAGTGTCTGTAGTTAAAAGAATAGTACCAGGGAAGCTGTTTCCTCCCATTTCCAGTCTTTACGCTAAGCTAAGCTAGCCAGCTACTGGTTGTAACTTTTTTATTAAGGGCATAGGAGCGACTGTGATATTACTGTTTGCAGCATGTATTTCCCAGTTCTCAAACTTTTGATTTGAATATAAAGCATCTGATTATCATGAATCCGTACACATCCAACTTCTTAAAGAATTGCACGATTTTTACGATGAAAAATCATTTGTTTTCCTAACACGGAGCAAACACATCCTGTTCCAGTTTCGAGTCCTGACAAGAAATCAATGCCCCCGTCATTGGTCACATTTAGTGTCAGCGCCTCTCCCTCCGTTTTATCTCAGAATTGCTGTATATCAATGCCTCCTGTCATGTCTGAGCGACCCCGACAGGGCGTTCAGGCTGTCACACCTGGGTCAGGGACGGAGGGCTCGGGCAAGATGGGAGATCTGAGTGCAAACAGAGTCTGTCTCTACACTGTCACTGAGGGAGGGACGCTCTCTGTGTCTGTGTGAGGCTGAGACCACAGGATAAGAATGTGTTTGACATTGCTTGTAATTGTGTAATGTTTACTCTGTTGGTATCAGAGGGGGCCTGCATCGGCAAACAGGAATTTGATTGTCGGTTGTAGTGGGGTGAAGCATTCCTTTGGGCCTCCAGTGAGAGAAAACAAGAGGTCTAGACATAAGATTTTGTGATAGCCCTTAAAAGAAGAATGACATACATCACTGTGAACATATATAAGGTGTACTGAACTTCTGTACTTAAGTAACATTTTTAGGACTTTATTGATGACAAATAAACATATTTTTCTCTTTTTGAACTGACAGGTTTAGTTTTTAGTTACTTTCACATCTTTCCATAGATTTAACAAATTTGAAATTCTCTGATTGTTTAATTTAGTCTTAAGAGGGTAAAACCAAGGTTTGAGAAATGTATTAAGGGGAACCACATTTATTTTTCTGTTCAACTAAATTAATCACCATAGTGAAAATGTGCTCACACATTGATCCATTAGTATTTAACATCTGACAGTTTAACACACAATAATATAAAATCTAACTCTAACCTCTACTTCTACATTTGCTTGATGATACTAGTGAAACTCCACACTGACGTAATTACGAACACCATCAGTAGCATGTGTGTGCTGATCAGAGAGACTGTTGTGAGTGAGGGAACGCAGTGAATGGCCTTGGCTGAGCTTCACAGATAGCAGCAGACAGGTCGCTGTGTTTGTTTGCTCTGTCCTCCCCTGTCTGAGTTAAAGAGCAGGTTGATTGGAGTGACAGTGGAGTTTCTAGGCACAGAATGAGGCTACTATCTCTCTGCCTACATCAGTAATATAGCTGTAGGACCAAGCAGCTGTTATAGTTGTAGGATAGGACAAGTGAAACTAACTGTGTGTCTCTCTCTCAGTGCGTTACAGCCAAGGCCCCGGTGAGGTCACCTCCTCCACGACCATCAGTCACCACAGCAGCAACGGGATGGCCACCAGCCAATCGGTGCTCCAGCAGGTGTCTCCGGGAGGACTGGACCACAGCCACAGTCTGCTCTCACCTGACGCCAAGATGGTGAGTGAACACACCTGGGGCCTCATGGCCTCAGATTAGATAAGACCCAGCCTGCGTTTAGCATAAACGTACAAAGCAAGTTCCTGGACCTCCTCTCTCATGGACCCACGGGCAAAAGCCAACAATTAACACATTGTGCTGCTCTGTTTGGAAGGTGGACTATAGGGCACAGCCTTCACCACAGTGTACCAGGCATGTTCATCACTCAGCCAATAAACCTGACAAAGACACATTCTGTTCTCATTGATTAAATGCCTCGCAGAGGAGCCTCAGGTGGAGTGCTGCTTGCTCTCCCAGAGAAATGACGCCAACATTTGATTGTGCCCAATGTTTCTTTTCGTTTCAACTTCAGAGTTTCTCCCTTCTGCCCTAGTCCAATATTTGATCAGTGACAAGGAATCCTGCGCAGTGACCCTTAGCAGCGGTGCAACAATACTTTTTATGTATTATGTGTGATTTGCTGTCAAAGTTTAGTTTCACTTTATTTTATTTTAGAAGGGACAGGGTAAATAAGTGAGTAAACAACAATGTCAGAATTAGCAACAAGGCTATTCATCATCTGTAGACCCTTTGTAAGGTGTCATACAAGCCTTTCTGAAATACATCTAAACAAAAACAGGGTATTAGGTTTAAAGATTTGAAAAGGACACATTAAAGCAATAAACACATACAAATATATTATTTGGAGCTAAATTCTGTCTCCATTTCGCTCAAAATCAAACTGACTGAACTACTTATCTTGTTCAGGGTCAACTGTAATATTCAAATGTGCACTGACTTCCCTGCCAGACCCAAATACTTCTGCCTTTTGGAGCGTCATTGTGTGAAATTACCACAGCCAGGGCAGGCAGTGTATTGTGCAGCAGGTCAGAGCGGGCAGTTTCTTATCTGCAGATGTGTGTTTGGCCGGCCTGTCCACTGTGGGCAGCTGGCAGTAGTCAAATAGTCTCAGCCCCACCGAGTGGGAGGATCTCAATCCAGACATCCATTACTAAATGCATTAATGTTTTTTTTTGCAAATATTTACTTAGGTATTTGTATGAAGCAATACAAAGTTACTTTATGCTACACAAACTCATTCACAATCCTAATTTCTAGTCTGCTTTTTTCTTCACATTTGTTCCTTATCAGTATTTGCCTGTGTGCTGTGTATGAGTGGAGTGACACAAGTGCAGTGTTATACAAAATAATCTGAACTAAGTCAACATTTATGTCTGTTGTTAGTTTATTACCCAACATCTGTTTCACTTTGAAAATGCATTTATGTGAACCTAAATAGCAGACACTCAAAGTGTTGCATGTAAGAAATATCAGAAAGCTAAATCAGTAATGTAATTGTATCTTTCTTTTATCTTTCCTCAGATTTCAGGTTCAGGTGGAGGACTTCCTCCAGTCAGCACACTGACCAACATCCACAGTTCCCATCACAGCCACCACCAGAACCTCATCATGCCTCTATCTGGAGTCATGGCCATAGCACAGAGTAAGTCCTCCAACCCTTTAGAAAAGAGAGAAAGTCATTTCATTTACTCCACCATGGAAATGTTTTAACTGAAGTTTTGCTGTGTCTCTCTAGGTTTGAACACATCACAGTCTCAGTCGGTGCCAGTGATCAACAGCGTGGCGGGAAGCCTGGCAGCGCTGCAGCCGGTGCAGTTTTCCCAGCAGCTCCACAGCCCCCACCAACAGAGCCTGATGCAGCATTCCCCCAGCCACATGAGCCAGCAGCCGTTCATGTCTGTCACTCACTCACACAGTAAGTTACACATATGTAAAAGAGCCTCTTATGCTTTGTATGTCAGTTAAACTAGTGGTTCCCAACCTTTGTTGTTTGTGTTGCTGTAACAGATATGTGTATGCAGTTCAAAGAAGTGATGTACTTTTTTCAAATCATTTTTAAGGTCTGAAAGGGTAAACAATCCGAAATATTGAGGAAAACAATACAAATGAGTAATTGGAGAAAATGAAAATCATTGTGTAGAAATTACCCCTAAGAAGCATTTTGGGAAACTTGAACTGAACTGAAGCAGTGGATATTTTAGAAATAAAGCCTTAAAAAACGCTCTCCACTCTTTTATGATCTTTTAAGTTTAGTTTACTTTTTTTTTTAATGCAATTAGAGCGTAAAACAGTCATCTTTTGCTGCTTTCCTATCTGTATTACAATACTAAAAGTAGAAAGATGTGAAAGCTTTCCTCAGAAACTACTAGATTTTGGACCAGATCTTCTTTAATAGTGACTTTGCTACCTTTTGATCATCATAAACATTCAATGTTTTTTAAGACCCTACAACATATACTGTTTTTGTGTTATATCATTTTTGTAAAATAATTATAGTTTTTGTAAATATAATTGAATCTATCTGACTTTCCTCTGCAGTGTATTCTCACAAGCAAGAGCCCCCACAATATTCCCACCCGTCACGTTTCCCCTCGGCCATGGTGGTCACAGACGGCAACAGCCTCAGCGCCCTCAGCTCCATGTCAGGCAAAACGGTGAGTCCTTCACATCATATCTCATCTCAGGGGCAACAGCTGCATGTTCTTACATCTCTCTGTCTGCCGTTGCGATTCTAAAAGTAAAAAAGTAAAAAGTCTGTGATCACTATTGGGGTATTTGCATGATAATCAGCAGTACATTGAAATGGTATCGCCGTTACTGTTAAAATTATTACATTTTGCAACGGGGAGTTCTAACGTTTGATCAAATCTCTTAAAAATAGTGCTGTTTGACTAGCACACTCATTTCCTGTTTATACACATAAATGGCCCTTACTTTGTTCTGATTAAGAGAAACAACACATTCAAAGCACACACTAACAGCAACAGGAACTACATCATGACAGGGAGAAGTGTTTGTGTGTTATGATCTTGTGTTGACTTTGTTTAATTCCTGTCACATTAGGATGGTGCTGTAAACAAGATGGTGCAACTTGGGGGTCTTTCCTGGGTAAATACAATTTTAAATCAACAAAATTGCACACAAATCCTTTATGTAGGTGTGCAGACTGCTCCTTTTAATGTTTATAATTTCTGTGTGGAGCTGCTGCTGATATTTAAATGTTTTCACTTGGTTTAAAACCAAGAGACAAGACAGATATATGGATAGTATACCCCCCAGAATTCCTATTTCCTCTTAAATAGACGTCTAATCAATCACCTGCTCCATCAGCCTGAACGCCTCTTGATTAATGCTGCCTCCTTTCACTTTCCTCTCCCTGGTGAGAGTACCTCTGCGATTAGGAAATGAGCCCCGCTTTTAATCAGGGTTCTCAAGCCTTGTGTGCTGCTACTTTGCTCCATGCTACAGTGAGGCTGGAGATGAGATGGGCTGAGTGGGGGTAGAGTTTCTTTTTGGGTAATTACACCTCTTCCTCTTTCCTACTTCTCCCTGCTCTCAGTGATCGCTCTAGCCTGAAATGTTGTCCACGGTACTTTCACACGCTCAATTTCCCACGCTGAGTCAGAGCACTCGTAACGCAGTGCTGCTACTGACAGACAGATGGGTTGAAGGGATGATAGCTCAGAGTGCAGTATATCCTCAGTGGGGGGGCGAGGTGTAACAGACCTCCATGAGGAGGCAATATACCTTCTGGTCAGGGTGTAGCTTGTTTTAATTTTGTAAAACAAAAGAAAAATGTACAAACAATGTAAAATAACTTGAATATTGAATATTCACGTGTTTTCTCTTTAGTTTGATATTTTAGATAAGATAAATACTGATATCAGTATGTTCACAACTATATATAACTAGACGCTTTATTTGTTTTACAAGACGCACACTTTTTTATATGACTGTATAAAGTATAAATATAGACTGATTTCAGATATTTCATGGACACATTTTGGATTTGTGTCCAATAATCGATACAGCACCAATGCATTTTATACCAAGTAACTTCACGATACATCTGTCAGTAAAAAAACTCCTTATGAAACATAGTGAATTAAAAAGTACGAAGACCAAAAACACTAGAACCTTAAAATTATACAGTTCTTGATACTTAATATGTATTTTCCACTACGGGCATCATACACCTGAGACATTTGACCAACCCATTTATTTAGGTGGTAATTAGCTAGCAGGCTCTCCCAGGTATTTTCTTATCAGGGCTTTATTTGGACGGGGCAGCCTTTTTTTCTCATGACACAACCAGCCCTGCTCCGGCTTTATAACTCATTGTTTAACGAGAACCCTCCATTATACCTGAGTCTGTTTCAAACTCACCTCTGCTCAAAGCCTGGCGTCTAATGACTCAAGTCTTAGCTGCGGGTCAGCTTTATCAGGTGGAGCTGTTTGCTGGCCGCAGGGTCACACCAGGGTCACCTACCTCCGCCCCTGAAGAGCCAGGGGAAAAATAAATTCCACAAACAATCTAAAATAAAGGAGAGCATTTAAATGGAAACAAGGCTTTTGAGAGTCAGGAGAAGAGGGATGAGGAATGTATTTGGTCAGGTGTGGCACACACATGAAGGTGCAGGGGTGTTGTATTTACCTGTGGTGGAAGACGTATTTAAATAAAGGATTAATGTAAAAGTACCACACTATAAAATACTCCATTAAGAATACTGCATAGATAAAAGTGTAATTATTGAACCATTTAAGCAGCATTTTGTCAAGATGGAGCTAATTTGACTAGTTCTTTAACCTTTGTGAATATGTTTATTTTTTAAAATAATTGTTAAAGTAGCATAAAATGGATAATCTCAAGTTACTCAAAGCTGGATGTAGTTACTTTCCACCACTGGTATTTACATTTAAATGTGTCACCTCCAGGAAGCCTTGTTGCCCATCACATAACCTGTGGTACTGGACAGATTGTTTTTATTGTTTTATGTAACGCAGGACTACTTTGTCTCACATTTTTCTCCTTCTCCTTTCAGTGTCCTCTTCAAGCTTGGTGAGAGCGTCCACCTGACTTCCCCGGTGCCCGGCAACGGAGGCACATTTTTCCACCCTCTCACAGCAGTAACCATGACAACTCTTAATAACCGGCAACGGCGCGCTGGATGATGAGTCAGTCAACAAAACCAAAGGAGAGGCAGCGGGCCAGACGGTGAAAATGAGAAATGGGGACAGAGGGGGAGAAAAACAAAAAAACTCACCTGAACAGTGAAGAGACTTGCTTCACCTCCGTCGCACACAAATGATAAACAGGATGATTTTAAACACAATCTTTGAAAACAGTATTCAGTTTTTCTTATGCCCCCGATCACCCTCTTTTCTGACATTGCAAAGGAACAAAAATCAAGCACCCAAAAAGCACTCAAAAACGGTTTAAGTGGTGCAGACTTAAACGAAGGCTCTGGGACCACTTAAATTACACTGTGATTTAAGGTGGAAATATTGAGGCACCCTGCAACTAACAGAGACAGTGATCAGCCTCTGTGAAGGCTGAAAGACTCAAGTTCCTGGAGGCCTTCACAAACAGCCCTGCACGTGAGCAGATTTGTGTGACAATCACAATAACCCTGTATTGATTTTGTATGCATGCATTGGACATTTTTACTAGTCTTTAAAAGGAGTCTTCCATATGTTTTCCTCTACACTCATTTAGTGCAGCCGATGAATACAGAGGGATTCATCATTTCAAGTTGTTCAAGTTGTTTATACTGTGGTTGAAAAGACTGACAATCTTGAAAGGACTATGCAATGTGTCAATCGGTGTAAGACATGCTTTGTATAACTGGATTCTGCACAGAACTCGACATACTTGAGACTGGAAATGAATATGCACTATCAGTGAAGTCACCAACAATTGCATATATACATTATATAATTATATATATATAGGCCTACTGGAGTTGCTGTTGATAAAGCTGCCTGTAAACTAACACAAGAGCAGATGGATGAGTGTGTGCGTGTGTGTGTGTGGTGTGTGGTGTGTGTGTGTGTGTGTGTGTGTGTGTGTGTGTGTGTGTGTGTGTGTGTGTGTGTGTGTGTGACAAATATGCCAAAGAATAAGAGTCAACTTCAATGTACGCAGGGAGGACTGACTCACACACTTCAACTGTGGCCCTTCCCCTCCGTGTTGTTTGCACACAGGTTCAGGTGAATTTCAGGAATGGGACTCTCCCTCCTCCTCTTTCTCCTTCTCCCACTTCCTGCGTTAATGTGAAGAGATACCAAATAGGACAAACATTGTTAATAACTCCTTATCATAAATCATGCCGGCAGGAACCCCCCAGAGTCATGATGAAAATATTGACAAGTATTCAGAAACAAAACAAGTTGTGAACGTCTGGTATTTTGTGAAGGAGAGGGACTTGAAAGCGGGCAGTGTTGTGACAGCAGCTGCTCTAATCATCCAGGAATCCACAGAGGCTGAGAAATGTTGGGGAGAGAAGCGGCTGCTGTGGGTACAGACGCCCACGCTCACACTGCCAAGGTGTGTTCGGGCAGAAGCAAACTTTATTTGCCACAAATGTTGCCGTTGGAGCCTGTGTTTGTTCGCCCACAACTATTAGTACTGTTAGGCAAACTCCCTTCTCTCCATTGACTTTGTATGCAAAGTTTGTCCCAACACACAGTTTCAGTTTCGGTTTGCTTGACAACGATGGGAAAGGTTGACATGGGGACCAAATTATGCATCAGGAATTATTTTTAATTACACACTTTTCCAACCCTGCAAATCATTAGTGGGTCAGATCCAGTCTCCTGTTCAATATTAGGTCATCACATTTGTTATTATTATGTTGGTTGGTGTGTGACTGTTATTATAGGCACACCTACTGCCATCTGATCAGAGGGCACTCATACTTGTGCAGGATGTGATTTTTTTTTCTCCTAATGTATTATTTTTGTATAAAATGGAATCAATCATAAATCATTATTTATACTTTCTGAGAAAATGTTGATATTTCAAGTAAAAGTTGTTTTTTTCAAAATGAATACATGGCTTTGGTTATTGTGTGTGTGCAAGGCATACGATTGAAAGATAGATTGAACTATTTGATATAAATGTGGGAGGTGTTATAATACATACGAGCATTGATCCTGTTTTCTAATATTATTATAGATATATATATTCATCAATAACTTTCTAAGTCTGGGCCAATGATTTGTAACCAATAGCTTTTGGAAATATAAGGTAACATAAAAATGTAGTGTACCTCAAATGTGTACTTCAGTGCAGTAGGATACTTAGTTATTTTCCGTCTCTTCAAAGCTGTTTATAGCCTCTACAAAGATGTTGTGGTGTTGCGCGTGATAAGACAAACAGCCTCTTTGAAGTTCATAGATCTAAAGTGCACCTTACATTTCAAGCAAGGTCGTTGAACTTGACTTGTTGATAGCATAATTCATTTCAGCATTTATCTGGTACTGACACAGAGCCTTATGTAAAAAAACTCATGTATAGCTTTTAATATGGTTATTGTAATGAAAAGAAACACAGCTTCATCTTCAAAGGGTTTTAAGTCAGCTCAATGTCCCATGGCTCTAGGGTTACATTGCATATTTCACATGCTGATCAGGTGTTCAGGAGGTGTCAAGTTTGCAGTAATATAATGACTTATAACATCTGTTGATATCTAAATCTATATACTGTATATGAGGATGAGAGGATTTCTATATTTCTATAAGGAATTGCAAAAAGGTTCATCTTTACCTTGTATAATCTTAATTATTAATATAAATTCTTACCTACCTAAATTCCTGTGACAAAAACAAAACAGCAACGTGAACAACATTAAAAAGAACAACACCTAGACATTTGACATGTGATGTAACTGCCCTATTTTGCCCAAAGAAAATAACATGCAATTAAAGTGGTATGGATATGGTTGAAAATGAAAGAAAAATAAGGGTTAACACTTTCAAACATAAAACTTACAAAAAGAACAGTTTAGTGATTTCCCTTGAGAAAGCCTTAACTCTGCTTTCCTATCCCTGCGTTGACCTGCAGCCTACACAGTGGAGCCCTGCTGTTTGCAGCCTTGTAATCCACTGATGTTGCTCTATTTGGTTTTCAATGAGGCCTTTGATTTCCAGACCCAGGAAGCCTCTAAAGATCTGACAGTGTCTCTTTTGCTCTTTTCTGTAAAAGAAACTGAAACACTGGAGGGCTCATTAGCATCTGTTAGAACTTGAAATACAACACTGAACTCATGACATTTAATTCAGAATTAGGGTTTGAATACAGGCTTGATTCATTGGCAGGTTCTTGAAAAAATGTGCTAAATACTTTTGTATAAACATTTTATACGTGAAAACCAATGAGTGATAATGGTAGAAGGTGTTGTCTGCTTTGTCTCCATGGGGATGTATTGTCAGTCTTGTTATTTGAGGAAAGAGCTTGTGCTTAGGCAGGAAGCACTTTAGGTCAGTTTGAACTTATTTGTATTTTTAGGTAGATTCATTTTATTCTTATCTTACAGCTAACTTTGTATGAAATGTTGAAAGAATACCAGCAGACTTTTTAACAAACGTCAGCATGCTATTTGGCAAGCCCCCGCAGACTATTTCTTTCTGGGAAAAGTAATCTTTTAAAAAGGTTAAATTACTCTTTATTGCTCCACGTCTCACAGCAGGGGGCACCATTACTCATTTAGGAATTCCTGCTTAAAGCAATAATGCTTAACAAGAGAAACATTCTCCTAATCCAAGTTTGGTATGATTGTTTTAACAAAACGTACATTCAACTAACGACTAAACTAAAGGTTAAAACAGTATAATGACAAACCAAATCATAAACAAATCATGTTTGGTCTCCTTTCTCTTTATCCAGTCTTGATCCAGGTTTTGACACTCAATAGGTTTTATGACAATTACATGCGCCGTTGAGAGGAGCACAAGGAAGAAAATTAAGTATTCATCTTCAAGGAAGTCTTCACGGGACTTTTCATTTATTTTCCAAGATAGCCGTCAGCTCCAGAGTGGCTGTGGTGCAGCGCTGTCTGTCTGATTAAAGCAGAACACTTCCAGGGAACAGAGGATCATTGACTCTCCCTTCACCTCCTGTGAGAGGCTTAGCATGTCTCCCAGGCAGCGGAGCATAAAACAGGGAAGGTCATGACTGATCACGCCTCAACTTTGGCCTGATGAAGTTCATCTGGGTAAATGTTGTCAGTCAATCCATTACATTTTTAAGAAAATCTTAAACCCATAATTCAAACCATTTAATCACTTTCTTTGATGTATTGAGTTACTGAACTCTGAACTTTGAGTCTGCCCACATTTGCACTCAGGCCAAGTTTAGCCTCTCAATCAGCGCTAAAGATACATACTGTGAAACATACTGCAATAAAACCATAAATAAAGCTACTGTTATCACTGATAGAAGGTATCAATACAACTCCAAAAGTTTCCTAATGATGCTTCCATTGTCCGCTGCATCAACAAAGACCACAAATACAGAGGACTGATCTAGAGCTTCTTCATATGGCGCAACAAGAATCATTTGAAGCCCAAAATCAGCAAGGCCAATGAGCTTTGTAGACTGCGCTCACAACACTGAAGCCCTAGAAGGACACACAAACGTTTTTACCCTAAGGAGACTTAGATCAATTAGTGTCTACAAAAAACTACTGCAGGCTTTCTCTCAGCCGTTAGTTACCAAGGTTTCTATCTTCACAACATTGTGCTGGGCTGGCACACTGTTGTCCAGCTCAGTGATCAGGAACTGGACAGTCTGCTCTCAGTTTCAGAGAAGGGGCAATTTCAGTAGATTGGCACCCTTTACTATATTTAACCATAGCTCCAAACAATTGCAAATGCTAGCCAGATATAACATCTATATGTTCCCCCAACAGTTTATTAGAAAGATAAAAGCAAAAAGCTGGGAACAGTCTGTAAAAAAAACTACCTGAAAGCAATCACTAAAATACAAAAAGAAAAGGAAACCATGCACACTAAATAGAGATACAATGTAGGAGAAGCTCTTTTAGAGAGTGTATCTCTGCTGCAGGGTGGTGAAGATGGAGATAACAGATTCATCTTGAGGACTCAAGAGGTCAACCCAAGGAGCGAGCTGCCACCCGGGGAACAGAGGCGAGGGGCAAAGAGACAGAAAGTGGAAGCTGTAGGGTGAATGTGGCCGTGTGTTTAGCAGAGGCAGAATAAAGGATACTACATCAACTCCAGCTGGGGCCCAAGGGGTTAATGGATAAGACTACCCAGCAGGGGTCAAGGGTCAGGAGGCCACTCTCTGCCAGGGCTAATTGGTCACTGCGACCAGAGTTAACACCAACATTTCTATGGAGAAATACATACACATGTATGGAGCTGCTCTGACAGGAGAATCCATCAAAAGCCCCCATCAAGGAGGCCTCTGTTGTGCTGCTGCACAGTCATGGAGATCACTCAGGCCTCCAGAGCAACAATCAGCACCCTTCACCGTACATCGCCAGCAGCACCACCTACAGTGACAGCCAGGCTGCACGCGTGAAAAGATTGCTGGCTTTTGATCTCAAGTTTTTCTGTTCAATTCAGCTCATTAGCATTCACTATTGTAAGGACAAGAAAACAGGGCATTAATGTGAATGTGAGAAGTCATTTGAATTGACCTACTTCCTTAACAGGTGAACGTTTTGGAGAGCAAACATGTCTTTACATTATTTGAATCATGTGATGAAGACGTTTCTTTTCTGAATAATAGTCCATTTAGGTTATTTTGATATCTTTAGCTTTGACATCTTCACAGACTCTTGCTTCCATTGACGAGACTTAGGCTGTGTCCTTGTGTGTTTATTTGAGCTATTTTAGTCGAACATAATTTATATGGACCATATGGTAATATAACTATTATTACTGATCAGTTTAATAAGAAGGAACATTTTTGGGTACAACATAATACACATCAAGTGCGAGAGGCTCATGACTTCAATAATAATAATAATAATAATAATAATAATTACTTAGATTTGTATAGCGCCTTTCAGGGGACATTCATCTTGGCTGCTGTATATGATACCTTACTTTGAGGAATAGAAGCATTCTTTTTCCTTTTAAGAAAATGTATTCAACAACTTAAATACATCCATGTTAAATAAAAATCCTGTTGGGAATGACCACATTACAGTCCTACTTGTTTGTGCTTACAGAAACGTTCCTTCTCCAGCAGATATATGAAAGCTGACGTCTGGTCTAAAACTACAATTCTTCACAGTGAAGCTCAAACTTAACATTTTTCAGAGGCAGGACTTTCATTATCACCAGTGTGGTATGTTTGTAAGTGTTCTCATTACAACAGTTTAAATACATTTTCTGCTGCTCTTTATTGCTTCCATTGAGACTCATCAAAAAGACGATTAGGCCTCGTCAGTCTCCTGTCCCCTCCTCTCCTCTGAGGGCAGATTGTGGGCTTCCTCCCTGCTGTGTGTGCCGGGTTTAGCTGGAGGCCGGCCGACTCCGTCAGTCAGTCATGTCCCCTCGTCGCTTGGATCTGGACGGGCTGTGGGCAGCCCCCCAGAGAGGAAGCCCGGCGAGAAAGGTGAACATTAACCCGGGTCCCATTCTGGGCATCCCACCATTCCCCATAAATCATTAACACATCCAGCATCAAGCCTGTGACAGCATCAGCATGACAACATCAATCTGTCAGGATTTCTCTATAACAGGTTTTCAGCCCCACATGCAAATGAATTGGTGAATTTAGACCCTAGTGAACACAGACATTTTCACTCAGAAACACATCTAAAACAACTCATGGTCCTAATATTTGATGCTGGTTTATTCCATATGATTTATTTCAGATAAAATACCACGTAAAGCCACAAACAACCGTCATTTCTTTGTGTTTTACCTGGATATTGTAAAAATGAATTTCCTCTAAACATTTACAAGGTCATTAAATGGTACATACGTCTGGCATTAGGCCATGACAGGCTTTTAAGGCCTGTGGAGATTTATCACAGTCTGGTCATGCTCCTG